ACGCCGTGACTGAGTGTGGAATCATGGGAGTTGTGGTCTTCATCCCCACAGCCGATGCAATCCGACGGGACTTGGGCAGAAATCATGTTTATGGATGAGCTAATGATTTGTTAACATAGTAGAATAAAGCAGGGTGAGGCTGAAAGCTGTCGAAGCAAAACGAGGCTGCTGAACGAGCGTGACACACGGCTCGAAAGCACCGGAGCTTTTATTATGCCACAGTTGACCTCTTCCGCTCCTTTCGGTCATGTGTATGTGGGGGGAAAAAAGCAGCGCTGTTTTATCATACTAGATACATTTGAAAGTCCTGTTATAATGCTACTCTGTGCAGTCGTCAACGGTCTAATAAAACGCACAACATATTAACGCATCTTTGGTGTTTCCATGTTTTCTACAAAACAAAACCGGAAATCGAGGGGTTATGACGTCATTGGCAGGCGACACAATGACACTATGGACACGCTCCGTGTTACTAGTTAAAATTGCTTATTTCTCTGGATTTAAACATTCTTCCAAACATTTGGGATAATGTAAGTACACAAGTCAGAAAAGTATATAACACTGTTCTAGTGGTTTTTGGATATTTTAATAAAAAAATCTTACATATTGTGCCTTTAAATTCAGCATCTTATTTTTACTCGATTTGCTTCAAACTTAATCAGAATAATGTCAAAACACGATCGATGTAAAACTGTGAAGGGATAATTAATATCTAAAATACTGTTGCCATGGCAACGTGTCAAACTTGAATATTCTTTTCCAGTGATTTTGAGGCAGATAACATGCTTAGAATTTCATGAATCTCAACACACATATCAGTATTAATGATAGATAGACACTGGCAAAAGCTCATAAAAGGGCTTGGAAGAGGTGCTCTATAGTGCCACCTTTTGACAACTTTTGGGGGGGTTAGTTTTAGCTACAGTCACCAAATGTGGGGCATATGTTGTTCTCATTAAGCCGGACAACTTTCTAATATACAGTCATTAGCTATGACCAACAGGAAGTCGGCTATTTTGATTTTAATGTGGATTTTTGGAAAAATATGGCTGTGGAATTTTGCATACTTACTATACACTAGAGAATTATACTATACACACCAAACTTTGTCTACATGATGCCAAAACATTGAGGAACTTAAATTTTGGATAGATTGAACAGTGTTGCCGTTGCAATTTATTAAAGTAACAGTAAAAAGTTAAACAGTAATTGTCTTATATTTTTAAAGTGCAGCTTCCAAACATTTCAAAACGTTTTACATACAGAGAACAAGTCATTGTGAGGAAATATGGTTAGTTTCATGAATTTACAAAACTTTATGGATAACAGAAAATGTAAAAAACTATCAGACATTTGATCTTATTCAACCTCTATGTGTGTGTGTGGGTGTTGTGTGGGGGTGGGTGAGAGAGAGAGAGAGAGAGAAGAGACTTTTAAACACTTTTATTTATTCAACAGAAGAAGAAAAAAATCAGTATCAGCTTAAGAAATCTCTTAGGCCTTATCCTTTTCTGTGAGTTTTATGGACAAAAAGGTCCTAGAACCAGTTAATTTGTAGGGCACTGACAACATAATTTTATATAATTAAGTTAATGATTATTATTATTATGTTAATTACAACATAAAAAGATCTAAAGATACATACACGTGGACTTGTACATTTTTGTGCTGCAAATAATAATTTGAAACTCATTTAATACTGACCTATGGCATCCTGCGACATGACATTCATCTGAATTTACATCATCTCATGGATGTAACAGTAAAACAGTTCAGCTCACAGATAAAGACTAAGCTGTAATGTTGGGCTGGGATGATAAATCGATGCGATTCTGAGATTTTCCGAATGCATCTCGATTCCTCTGGAATCGATTCTGAGCTTAGATTTTAACAGCAATGGTGCTTTTTATCCACACACTCAAATGCTCATGAAGAAGAGTGCTAAAGAGTGCTTGTGCGTTCGGCCGAGTCGTAACTTTAATTTCACCTCAGCTCAGAATGATTTTATAACGCAAAATTAATGTAAACACAGCCCTGTGAACACCCTTGTAATTCGCTTCAACCTTTTTGAATTTTATGAATGATTATTTTAGGTTCAAGTGTGTGTAAGGATTTGGAAACGAGCAGAGTACGGCTGTTTCTAAAGTATGCAGTGCCATCTGCTGTTCAAAACTAAGCTCAGAATCGAATCAAGAAAGAATCTCGATGCATTCGGAAAATCTCAGAATCGATGCTGAATCATTTCTCGATTCGCGATGCATCAATTTATTTTCCCAGCCCTACTGTAATGCAGGCAAAAATATTTCACAAATGCTTATAGATCAATACAATCATTAAAAAATGCTTATAAATCATTAAAGGTTTTGGTAACACTTTACAATAATATCTAATTTGTTAACATTAGTAAATGCATTAACTAACATGAACAACATATTTTTTTACAGCATTTATTAATGGTTGTTGATGTTAGTTAATCAAAATGTTCATGTTAATTCACATTACATTTACTAATGTTAACAGATAAAACTTTACATTTTAATAATGTTTTAGTTTTGAAGTTAATATATATATATATATATATATATATATAATAAATACATATTTATGATCTTAACATTGTTAATAAATTGTTGACCTTTCAGTGTTGGTAAATGAGCAAATGCTACACTACAAATAAATAAATCCAACTTGAAAACTTTACATAATCTCTTTTTCTTTTTCAAAAGGGGATCAATAATAAATAAGTAGCTTACTTGACACAGTGACGCAGTTACTTGAGTGTGTCAGTTCCAGCTGATTTCTGAGCAGTCGTCTGAAGCTCAGTGGTGGGGATAGGATGTGCTGCATGCATATGGTATCCGTGTTTTATACAGGGACACCACCCACTTCCCTCTTTCACAGAAGATACTGCTTTATAACTATATAAAGTCATTTGGGTAAACCGGTAAAGATAATGGCTTCAAAGCTGTGTGTTAAAAATTAAATGAGCAGGAAGCTTTATTAAAAATGTGCAAAAGAAAGGTAGATCAAAATGTAGTGGGGGAAAAATTAAGAGTGCATTATTTCTACTGTTACATTTGAGAATAATACAAATGCAAATGCATTATATATATGAAATCGCTTACAGTGTACAGATAACTGCAAAATTCACACACACTTATGAGGGGCTGAACAAGCCATGATTCATTTCTGCTTTCACATACATATGTTCCTGCTTACATACGTATACACTTTACTTTTCAACACATACATGTATTCTGACTTTCACGCATATATATTTACACTTCCACACTACTTTATTCTTATACATTCTAACACATATACATATATTGTCACTTTTACATACATATATATTTCACACACATGCATGTCACATCCAATTTTTTATGCATTACTTTCTCTTTAAGCAGGAAGTCACTCAAACCAGGAAATGAATATGCAAGACTTGCTCAGCTCATCATAACACAGCAA